TACTGAAGTCACTGTCTGCCAGTGTTTGACCATTGCAAGAAAAATATTGTTCTTCTTTAAAAGATCCCAGGTTATAGAGAATAAAGAAATGCATGCTTTCCTCCTGCTTCCTTCTCTTTGCATCCATCCCTTGCTGCAAAGACTTGCTTTTCTTCTGATAAAAACAACATGTATTTCACCAACAGCTCACACATTTTAACCAGAATACATTAATCCTGACCAGTGAAAACTAGGATTTTTTTTTAATTTGTTTTTTTTAAACCCTCATTCAAGTATCAGTGTGATACAAACAGCTTTGTTAGACAGCAAAGCTTCTGGCTTTTCCATCAGCACAGGGAACAAGTGTGGCCAAGACTTACTGACTCATGAGAAGTCCAAGCTGAAAGAGTAGGGAACTTCTGCTACTGCTGTTGACAACACCCCATGGAGAGGGCAAATATACATATATACTTATGTATGTATATATACACATAAGCATATATATGCATACAAAGAGTAAAAGAAGATGAGTGAGTTGGGTTTATAAAGTGATGACTCTCTCCTTCAGAGAAATATCTGAAGAGTAAAACTATGATGGGGGGGATTAACATGATGGCTGTCTTTGTACCACAAGAAACCACAGTAGTTTCGGTCCTAGAATGTAAAGATTCTTTTTGTCTCAGGAAAGGACAACAGGGGGCAGATAGGAATTGTTTCAGTTTTCTCTCACCTAAGATTCTAAATGTAGAATAATGATGGACATTCAAGTTATTTTCCCTCACCCAGTTCAGCATTAATCCACACATCTCCAGTGCATTATCTCTGTGTAAGCTAACAAACACAAGAAGTATATGAATCCAGGACAGAGAAGAACTAGTACGCCTGTGAATGGTCACTTGAAAAAAAATAATCTGTGGATTCTGACACATGAAACTGATGACTGCAGCTGTGATGACATTGGATGCCTCAGTAAATTTGGAAGGTGGGAACATCAGAAGATAAGGGAATTACTAGTGGTTGAGTCTATGGAGAGTCTTGGCTTTTTTTTATTCTTGTTATCTGTGCTATGAAGGATGACTGCCACCGGCATGGAGACTACCAGGGACTGAGTCAGAGGAATAAGAAGGAAGACTAGAGCAAGACAAGAAACCATACTGCTTTTATAATTAAGTAATTCTTGCAAATAGATTAAAACAGTTTTCATCACTTGTCAAATGCACACAAAACAATCTCTGGAGTCAGCATTTCTCCTAATGTCCACTTGCAGATAGAGAAGTAACACGGATGGTGTCTCATTCTAACTGGAACACAAGTCATTTTTCAGGTGGTAAGTCATTAACTGCATCTTTTTACCTTGCTTTCTGCTCAGGTCCTAGATCATGGTGACCTCTGATCTCAAACACAGACCAGGTTGCTAAGAAACTCACCACCTCATTTCAAGGGTTTGGAGATTTGTTTTGAGTTTTGTCCTTCACTGTACTGGTAGCAGAAGACAATTTCATCAGAAAGTCTGCTTGACAACTTGTTTCCTGGAACCTTCTATTAACAAAAACCATAAAGCTTGTTAGAGGATTGTAAATTCACAGAACATACAGAAAGGACCCAGGTAAGGTATGAAATACATCTTCCCGGCCCACAAAAGACCAGGAATGCCCATTTCCAGTTTTTAAATCCCATTGTGAACTCTCAGGAGTCAGCTGCATGACAAGTGTCACTGGCAATGGCAGCAGAAGTCTTTGTGCTCCCAGGAAAGGAGCCTTCCTTCACACTGAGTCTTCTGTGAAAGACAAAAACGACATAAGAGCTGACATCTTTACAAAATGGCTAAGGAAAACTGCGATATGTGGCACAAAAGAATGAAAATGAAGGTTCTAGAAAAATGTGAAGGACAAAACCTGCAACAGATTGCTGTAACTAAGAAGTAATCAAATAGGAATTAATATTTACTTTCATTTCTTACTGAGACTGATACAGTGCCCTGTGCTGCTAGAGGTGTACTGGGAAACTGTTGTTTAGTCTTGTTTAGTTTTTTTTTTTAAAGCAACTTTTCTTCTGTAACTCCCAACTTAAACCACTCAGCAGGTCCCCATTGGAAGCTTGTGGCAAGCTGGGCCTAACCTGCCTGGAGGGAGCTGCAATTGAAGAAAAAGTCACTGAAAAGAGAATATGCTGCTACAGACCATGTACACAAATGAACAGACTGAGGAAACAGATTGTCACTGCCAGAAGGACCTGAGCATCTCCATTTATTCCCCCTAAAGGAGCAGTGGAAGGCTCCACAGCAGGTACCCCCATGCTCCTCAGCTGCTGGGGAAGCAGAAAGGTTTAAAAAAGAAATTCTATACTGCAGAAAATGAAAACTCTAAGTATAGTTACCATAAACATGATGTGCTGTCAACATTCATAAATATCATGTTACCCATGGTCATGCAGGTATTCCTTCTAATTTGTTGCTGAAATTTGTAGGCTAAAGCAGATCTTCTTGAATGCAAACTTCTCCCTCTATGTAATCCAATTAAAGCAAGTGAAACCAATCCTAGAAAGCTGGGCATCACAAGAAATTAATGCTGTAAGACAGCAAAGGCATTGACAAGCTTGTCTGTCCACCCAGACTGCAACCCCTTGTTTTGCTGGAAAACATTTGCTAATTATTCACAAGATACACCTCTGACACACAGGCAAGCACAGAGCTGAGAGCATTGGTCAGAAATTGCTGGGGTCCTCTCTGAAGTTAACTGCAGATATAAGAAGCCACTGTCTGAGAGTGAGGCAGTACAACTAGCAGCAAGCCCCACATCGACAGAGTTCCCTGGATACTGGAGCACCAGATGGTGACCCTATGGAACAGAGATGAAACCAAGAGAAAGACCTTGGTTTTAATACTGAAATTCTACTGCCTGCCCAAGAGGTAGGTACAACACCAGTTCTGTACTGCAGCCACATCCCGAGCAGTGAGGAGACCTCTCCAGCGATGAGCCTCAGAACAGTCCCCTGGCACTGGTGTTCCTCAGACCCTTGCCAAACCCACTCCTGGTGGTCAGGAACTGCCACCACTACTGCCAGTGCAGGGAAGAGAGCGAGGCTTGCTCTCCGTTTGCTGGGAGAAGACAGTCTGACTTAGGGACCATAGGGTTAAGCAGCATACGGATGAAAGAAAGCTCCAATCATCCTTTTCTCATTCAGGGAATATCTGTGAGCTCTCCTAGTCACTGACCTGAAGACCACTTATTCTGCATTGCTCTTTTATTAAGCATTAGTGCCCTAATTAAATTGATTCACAGCCTTCTTTCTGTTCTGTTTCTGCATTATCCCAGCTGGTGGTGGCAAATGGGATTGAGAATGGATTTTAATGCCCCTTCAAAGGTCTGTCAGGGGACAGCCTTTCTGTTCTAACCTATTCCTAAGGAGCTGTCCATTTTCCAGTTGCATTGCCACCACTGGCATATCAAACCCCAGCAATTTTTAGGGCCAGATTTCTTTTACAGGGCTGCCTGTGTCATATTCTCACCAGCTGACAGTCACAGAGATGGGCAAGGACAATTAAGAAAGGGAAAGTGTCCTTTTCCCCTCAATCCTTCCAGCACCCAGAGCATTCTGCGGCTTTTATCAATACAAGGGACAAACACTGATCTGTAATTGTTTGATGTAGGTCCTCTGGTACTCTCCCCTCCACCACCTCTTCAAAAACATTCTTGCAATATTACAGTGCAGTTTTGAAAGGAAATCCTGAATGATATACTACGCTGAAGTACTAACTGAAGACCAAAGCCCAAGGCCATTTAAAATCGCAGCAAAATCAATAACACTCATTCAAAGTAAACTAGAGCAAAAAGGAAGGGAACAATTACACAAAGCAGAGTAGAATAAAGCAGAGATTGGAAAGAGGACTTCTACTGCAAAGTTTAAGACCTCTGCAGAGCACAGTTTGCTTTGTGTCCTAGGCTCTGTGCTCAGAGGACTTCACGTGCTGTTCTGCTCTGTCTACAAGGAGCAGCTGCTGACTCCCTGCTGTCAACAGTTCTGTCTATTTTGGGGCTTGGTGCTAACAGACTTTGTGAAGGAGCAACGAGAAAGGGAGCAAGAACAAAGGCTATCACCTCCTAAATCTACTGTGAACCACACATACATTGCAGTGGGAGTTACTGCAGTAACAACACAAATCCCAACAGAAATGCTGTAAATTCTAACAAGTGTCCTCTAACCCAGCTCTCCGCTCCACCTCCTCCTTACCCAGGCAGTATTTAGCAATGATGTGGTAATGGCAAATCACAGAGGATCTGCTCAGAGAATTTTCCATCAGTAATGGAAGTTTCTACACCTACTGATAATGCAGCTTCATAGGAGACCATTCTTCTCTTCCTACAGGGAGCTTCACCGAAGCAGTAAAATCCAAGGGACGATGGTGTGGACAATCAAGTTGACATTTAATAAAATCAGGAGTGCCAACATTGCTCAGGAGAGCTCAGTGCCAACAGGATACATCCTAGCAGTAAGATTCACTATGCTCATGGAGTGCAGTGAACAGCAGGTAGGTCCAACTGCCGTCTGGTCTCTTGACTAATAAGTTAGGCTGCACGACTACTTGCAAGAAAAAGCTTTAAGATTCTAGTCAAAAGCAGCAACAACGTTAGCTGTAGAAGGAGTGGCAACAAACAGCATAGATCAGGATAATGTGTTGTCTACCACAACCATACTAGAGTGCTTGTTACCAAAAGAACATGAAAAAATGATTTAATTCAATCACAGCATAGTCCTAGGGCAATGAATTTGTATGCTACTATAGTCAGCTTGAATTAAAACAAGCAAAGAACATAAATTATGATAGTCTATGCTGTAGTCTCCGTATTTTCAGGAAGCGTCCTTTCCCATCCAATTACTTGACCACGCAGGAAAAGACCCTTCGCGTTGCTCACTGTAACAACTGGACAGACCAATACAACCAGTAAGGCACTACAACAGAGGTGTGATGATAGAAAGACCAGGATAACAGAAAGGTGCCATAAAAGAAGAAGATTACTCACCCATACCAGAAGATCCTAAATTCACAGGGGAAAGCTTCATCAAAGAGGGATCTCCAGAAAGAGATCCTCTCCCAGTGGCAGTCAGCCTTTAAACAGGGTCTAAGAGAAGAGCACCCAGGCTCCACCCCTTTGGGTCACACAGCTGAATTGCTTTCACCTGTGCTCCCAGAGCTGACCAGGTCCTTTCCCCAGGTGCTCAATCAGTGGTTCAGGACGTGACTCAGCAGTTACCGTACGCTCATTAAATAAGTGGCTGTCTGCCTTTTCTGCTAAGTACCAAGAAGGGAAGTAAATAACAAATGCATACCTCTGAACTGGTTTAAATTCAGAGCAGATCACCTCTCACCCAGCAAAGGGATGTGGTCACAAGGTTGCAATGCCTGAGTATTAAACCAGCCCTCCTCTTTCCTAAGGGACATGCAAAGGTGGAACAGTTCCCTCCTTTAGCCAGCAGTGAGCAAAATGCTCTGAAGCTGGTTGCCCTGGGTCAGCCCTGCCCTAGCCACAGGCTCTGGAAAGTGCTGTAGTTCTCTCCTCCGTTTCAGGGGTGAGAACCCTGCCAGGATTTTTTTTGGAAGTCTGTGTGATTTCTACAGTTGTTGGATCTTAACATAAATAGGTCAGCCTTGTGATGCTTTCAGCCCTCTCCTTGAACAAGGCTTTCATTGCCTTTCCAAAGAGCTGACCTGCTAAGCAAGGAAATTGCTGTGAAGGCTTCTATAATGGCTTCTATTCCCTGGAAAATCCGTCTAGTAAGGGAAATGTAACAGAAACTTTCTAGCAGCTTAATTGCAGTAACTGCACACAGCTGAGGGCACTGTAATTGTGTGGTGCCTCACACCTCAGCCCATGACAGCCCTGTGGCTCAGGATGGATTTGGTGAGGGCAGACTGACAGGGCAGCACCAAACCCAGCCCACAGCATAGGTGGTAACAGCAGAGACCGAGGCAGGGAAGAAATTCCATACCTATAAAGTGCTAATGAACCACAGCTTGCTTTAGCAAAGAAAGTCTGGGATGTTGGAGAGTTACATCCATCCTCATAATATTCAAGTAATGTGTACATTACATCAGAGGCACTTACTACAAAGTAATTTGCTAAGTTTTTCTTTCATTGTTGCAATTTCCTTTTTTAACAGTTTTTTCTTCATTGGAATACTTTTGTATTAATGTTGGTTGTTATAAGACATTCTTCTCATGCAGAAAACTGTAAACGTAACCAAATATGCAAGGCAAGAAGGTTACAATGCTGCTAAGTTAAGCAGTTTAAAACGGTGAATGAAGTCAGTGCCACCACGGTGCCTGTGCTCACTTGGCAGCTAGGCAGTGTTAGCTGAGCAGGGAGCTGCTCCATGGGCTCTGCTCTGCACATGGAGGCAATCCGCTCCTAACCTGCCTGACGGTGAGACCTGAATAAGGAATACTGAAAAAAACAACAACAACAACAACAAAAAAATATGAAACACTAAATGGGATTGTGTCATCTGAGTGAGCATAATTAGCTAATAAAGGTCAGTCTCATTAGAAGCTCTTCAGGGAAGAAGCTGCTGAAAGAAATTCAACAGCAAAAGACCATTAGCAAGCTGTCCTCCCTCACCTGTGCCAGGAGCACTCTGTGAGAAGCCAAATGTCTTGACCAAGCACTGAAGAAAGGTGTTGACACACAGGTGTTCTGCAACAATGAGAATGTGCTTATCAATCAGAAGATCATTCTGTGACGCTTGGGAACTCTGCTTTCTCTCTGCACAGGCAATGTTGGATGCCATGGGTCCATAAAGTGAGCCTGCCTCTGAGCTATGTCCCCTATGCTCAGCATCCCTCCCAACACCACCTCCCTACCCGCAGGTGGCAGCCAGGCCCTCTGCCGCCTCTTATTCCATCTCCTGCCATACCAACACACTGCCTCCCTCAGCTAGGAGTTACTAAAAGCTGTTGTCTATGCATGCATCTGCCATCCTACCACTAGGTAACTCTGTTTCTATGTTCATTCATTCCTGCATAGACTGCTCATGATTTATACCTTTCCTTTACTTCCCTGTTCAGGAAAACTAACTACAGAACTCATATGTCACAGTACAGAAGTGCCCAGCTAAAGGTGTGGGTTCCAGGGCCTTTCACTTGCACTGAGGACAGAGGTAAAATGGAACAGCTTACTCCCAAAAGCTGTTATCCTTGCAACCAGATCTGCTTCAGCAGAAAGGTGTGGGAGAAGACAGAACTGTTCCAAGAGGTCCAGACATAACAGCGGTGCAGCTCTACCCAAAGAAAGGGAAGTATCATTTCTTTAACTTCCTAACTGCTGATCCTGCAGTGCTCAGCGAGCCCCAGGGATGCTGAGATGTGCTGTTTCTCTGCAGGACGCTTTCCCTGTGGGCTGGTGGTGGCTGTAGCATCATTCCCTCCTCCTGGGCTTTTCTCCAAGGAAGAAAAGAGACTGGGAAACCTGCAAGCATCCTTCAGATACTGTTGCCTGTGACAGGAGGCATGTGGGGGGTATATCTTCCTTTCCCTGCTGTGGAAGGAAGAAGTACATTTTAAAGCTGTTTGTTCTGGACCAGCCGCAGAGCCCTGCTCTGCCTCAGTGCCACAGCACAGGTGCAACTGCTGCCTGGGGGCTTACAAAGGTCACTCTCAGGAAGACTTGGGGGTTTTTGTTTGCTTACTTGATTTCAGAAACAGAGCGGAAGGGGCTCCAAGGCCGTGAAAGAGCCGCTTCGCTCCCTGCTGCCCAATGGTGGCTGTCGTTCCCACCTCGATTTTGTGCAGAGACGTTTGCCGGCCGGCAGCCGGAGCAGCACTGAGCGGGCATCGGCTCCCCCCAGCGGGCACCAGCAGCAGAAAGGCACCAAAACCCGGAGGAGGAGTGCTGGTGGGCTGTGAGAGCCGCAGCGGGCAGCCACAGGGCAAAGCAGCTCTCAGTGCGTGATGTGAGCGTGGTGCTTCGGGCAGGTGCCTGCAGCACTGCCTCGGTTCCCGTGATACAGCAGAGTGCCGTTACTGCTATTCTTTGATAGTGTTACTCTGCAACAGCTGTAAGAGCATGGAGGAAGCTCACTTGAGTTGTGTAGGCTGCTGCACAAACTTAGAATTGCTGTACCCCCCTCCAGAGCACGCAGCAGGAGCTTCAGGACAGCACCTAGCAGAGCACGGCTGTGCCTCATGGCTGCCTAGAGATGGAGGTGGGAGCCCTCTGTGCCTTCTTTTTCTCAGTCCTTAGTGCACAGAGGCCTTGGCAAGCACTGCTGCTCCCACTGCCACTGCAGCCACCTCCTCTGTCTCCCTTGTGCTGAGGAGATGCTGGAAGTGTAAAGCTTCCCAGTTGCAATCAAGCAGACACTTGCTCTCTATGCCATAACCTTGCCCAGTGCTGGCTTTATGAATTACATGTGGGGCTAACAGCCCTTGCAGCCCAGCTTCAGATGCTGAGAGCTCTGAGGGGAAGAGGAGTGGGAGGCAGCGGCTCAGCATTCCGCCTGCTGGTCTGTGCTCACCCACCTTCATTCTAAAGGTAGGAATGGAGTCTGCTTTTGTTGGTATCATAGAATCCTTTGAGTTGGAAGGGACTCATGAAGGCCATCTAGCCCAGCTCCCCTGCAGTGAACAGGGACACCTACAGTGAGATCAGGGTGCTCAGAGCCACTCCAGCCTGACCTGGAGTGTCTGCAGGGATGGGGCACCCATTGCCTCTCTGGGCAAATCTCTAAAATACACCAATTTCTGTTTGGTTCTAATAGAAATGAGAGAGCTGCACATGAAACAGAGAAGGATAAGTGCCCAGCAGCAGCAGATGCAGCATTGTCTCTGACACTTGCTGCTTGTTGCTGGGATGACTGGAGTGTGTTACACACAGCCCCGTGACCAAATCCTGCATCTTGGCTTTACTCTACTTGCCCTGGGGGGTTTGTGGTGATGTACTATTTCTCAACCAAAGCTGCAAGAGCAATTTTTTCCACACATATCGGGCAGCTTGTTTTTTTTTCAGGTTCCCCAGCTGGGCACAGCTGAGTACTTCAGCTCTGAAATCTGCTGTAGGAAAAGAGCAGAAAGGAGTTGCTAACGATAGAGAAGGACATATCCAGGAGGAAGACCAGGATACTTCTCAGAATGTGGGTTGGAGAGCAGGCCTCCAGAGGATGCAGCTCCTCTTAGTGCCCTGTCTCATTACCCAATGTGTCCCATGGGACTGCCAACTCTGCTCCCACCATCAGAGCCCCACGCTGCTCTGTGCTGCTCCCTCTTTGCTTCTGCTGAGCTGCCCACTGATCGAGGAGAGTGTGTCCTGATGGCAGCAAGAGCTTTGTTTTTATAAATCCTACAAGCAAACCAAGCTGCATGCACCAACAATATGCATTTCATTCCGGGAACGTTCCCGTGCTCTTTTCATGCCTGCATAGCTTCACTGAAAGCATCAAAAATCAGTAAGCAGATTTCTTTTAGCTGATGAACACTGGCAGCAGCAGTTTTACAAATGGTGCTTAAAGGTTAAACTGACCCCACTGCCATCTTCCACCCATCCAAACAACTAAAAGCTCCATCCCAGGAAACCGTAGGGCACACTGGGGCCTGTTCTGCATCAGCTGCTGCTTTAAGTTTAGCAGCCACATCCATTAGCCCACAACAGTGGATGTAACAAGCAGAGCTGTGCAGCTCTTATCACTTGACAACCGATGCCACCTGCTGAGAGGGAGCTCCGCTGTCTGCAGCCTTGATTCAGCACAGCGGGAGCAAAATGGACTTTGACAAGCAAACTATGCAGCTGAAACACTTTACAACCATAAAAAGATGGGAGGGGAAGCAGAAGGAATGAGCAGAACTGCCACTCATGAGAGTTGCTCCAAAAGTAATGCCTCCTATTTTATGATGTCTACCCATGACATCAGAGGTGGATATTAGTGGTATGGCAGAATAGGTTGAACCATCTCACCAATATTTCTTTACAAGTTGCTGCTACGAGACAGACAGCAACAGAGGGGCAGTCTGACAGAATGGCATCCGTCATGAAAATGCAGATGAAACAAAAGGTGTCGTTGAATTCCTCCATGAGGAAAAATAGCACCCAATGACATTCACTGCTGCCCCGT